TAACTGTCGTGCATGTGATCTGGTGGTCATCCTCTCCATAGCTAAAGAGAGAGAGAGAGAGTAGATTAGTGGAAGGTACATGTACATGTACATGGACATACTAAACACTTTTAATAATAACATCTACATGTATAAAAGCACTCTTTTCTCTCTCCTCTTCTCTTCATTTTCTTACGACTAGGATGAAGGAACTCTGGTTGAGGAGGTGGTGGTTGGACGTGGTGCGAGTGATGATAGTCCATTGAACCGACTAGTCGATCGTCTACACAAAAGACACAAAAAGACACAACGAGTTAACTTATGTATAAAACTGTTGACAAGAATGGTGACATAATGCCCACCATCAAAACTAACACAATGAAGAGGAGTAAAGGAACTACATGTACATGTACATAATAATATCGCCAGCCGTTGAAGTTTTGATATCACACAAGAATGTATGTGAACCATTAGGACAATAATAATAATGATATGGTAACAGAACAATTAGCCAGAAACAACATTACAAGATAAGAGGTAAAGTACATGCATACCTGACAGGCCACCAACAGCTCCACCTGATGCCTGGAGCATTGATGATGGCATACCACCAGCCCCACTAGAGTGACCAGTGATACCCTGCTTCTCCTTATCACTTCTTGACCTAGTCCTCATCATTGGCACTGAAATGAAGAACAAACATAATAACAATATGCCACTACAATAAATATACATGTACTGTACATGTAAATCAACAAAAAATGTCCCCATTAACATTGCTTAAAAGTGTACCAATTGTACGTGCACATTCAGTATTGTCATTAAAGCTAGTGTATAATTACATTTACTATTGAGACTATAGACTGTAATTCAAAACATAAACACTTGCTTGGGTGCATAGGTGATGTCATGGTCGGGTGCGGCCGAGACATTGGAGTAGTGGTTGCTATTGCCTGTCGAGAGGAAGGAGTGGCCATGTGAGAGTACTGTAGGGGGCCAGAGGAGGGGTGGAGCCCGTCGCGATATCCTACAGCCATTCCGTGACTAGGGGCAGATGACATGTGATCACTTGTAGGCTGGAGAAAGGAGAGATAAGGAAATATGAATAATATCTAAATGTATAATTGAGTCTTATAAAACTTACATGTATGTAAAGGGAGTATAAGGAAAGTGAAAAGGAAAGATATACATGTAACATAGTGAATGAGCAAATAAAGTTCATGTACATGTAAATCGTCAAAAAGGAAGAGGGGCCCAGCAATGTAATAACAGGATGACAAAAAAGCCAACAATAAGCTTTAAAATAAAATAACATCACATCCCTTACTGTTTATTGAACACAAGAACCAGGATTTCCCACAAAGCATGCGAAGTGAGCTAAACAGCATGAGCTTCAATGACAGTATATGGCTTTTGGAGCAACTTTAAAAATTCATAAAAAATCCAATTTTGATCGGAATCAACTCAAACTTGAAATACAACATAACAACATGTATATGCATCAGAAAAAATTATAAAAATGAAAAATTCTCTCCTTGCCATTTTTGGTGAAATTTGGCCCGAGACACTGTACTATAGTACAGGGACTTTGGCCCGATTTTGAAGCAACTTTAAAAATTCATAAAAAATCCAATTTTGATCGAAATCAGCTTAAACTTTCTACGCAACATAAAAACATGTATATGCATCAGAAAAAATTATAAAAATGAAAAATTCTCTCCTTGACATTTTTGGCATAATAGTACATAGTGCATGAGCACTGAACCAAATCCTGTGGGAAACCCTGACAAGAAGACTACATCTTAGAAGAATAACAAACACAAATTCTTACACTACCAATTTATAATCGTTTTCAATATAAACCACAAGAGCTCATTACATCATTATTACATCACCAGCAATCATTAAAAATTAATATTAACATTAATTTAACTATTAATACTATCACTATTTTAATAATAATTATTAATCATTATCATTGGCAGATCTTGGACTATTACTATTATGCACATGTGTATTACCAGTAATAACAGTAATGTGGTGTGATACTGATAACTAACCAGACAATATATACTCCAGGAAAACAACATCCATATCAAATTTACCTCAAGGATACAGCTGCAGGATAATGGGCAGTACACGTACAATTGTGCATGTACATGTAGATACAATTAAGTATCAATTTATATAATAGCCACAACACGTACTCCATGCATGTAGAAGTACATGTAGAAATGAATGACCAATACATGTACATGTACATGTAAATTAAAGTACATACAGTTAGAAGGTTATTATATTTAATGCTCTGAAATTTATGCGCCTACTAACAAGCCAAGTTTCTCACGAATAACAATAAGCAATAGCAGCAACAATTGATTTCAGTAGAATAGAAGTGACGGGAGCAGGTTTGGGCATCGCTTTTGGTTTGTGTGTTTAATAACATGATAATACAAATAAATACAAATATTCTACCACAATAAAAGAATTAGTGACACCAAATAAGGAAGGCACAAAGAAAAGCAACCGCCTTCAATATTGACACAATAAGAGGAACTGAAGCTTTTGATGATGAAATATCAAATGTAACTGATCCTTTAATATACATACATGTAACATAAAAACGTGCCTCATTTAGAGTAAAGGGCTAAATACAATGTACATGCATCATTAATAAGAAACTTGAAGCAGAAGGATAATAGAGCCATAAGCCATACTGAATTCACTAATTGATATACATGTACAAGCCCAATTAGCTCATTAATAAAGTTGCAATTAGCATTAAAAATTAGAGGGAAAGACAGAGCTAATAACATACAATTCCAGCTGTGTTCCAGTCAAACACATAGTCATACGTATATCCTAGACGATGAAAGAGGTTCCTAAACAACTGTCTCAAGTAAGTGTAGTCGGGCTTGTCCTCAAACTTAAGACCACGACAAAAATTTAAGTAAGTGGCAAATTCACCTACAGAATAAAGAGAATAGCAGTAGTGTATATGCACAGTGGATTAAGTTACCTGGGTAGCCTCTGCATAATACTTCAACTGGAGTCGAGAGCTTCTTTTCGCTTATTTTCTCATATTTTTGTTTCTTAGTAGCAGCCTATAAAAGTTTTAAAAATTTCATAAATCTCTTCCATTTCTCTCTCTTACTTTCAGTCCTTGCCACGGTAGATTCCCCAAATTAAAATACATCAACATGTACCCAAGGGACTCAAGGTCGTCACGACGACTTTGTTCTAAAAGAAACAACAAAAAGGTGAACATAAACCTGACATGATGTAACTATGTCATTGATACACACGTACATGCGTATAACTACATACACAGTGTGAACCATAATACATATGTACATGTAGATGTGTGTGTCGTATAACTATTAGTCCTCTTTGTGTGTACAGATTGGACTGTTTATCATGAGACATTATTAACAAATTGAAATGTATCAACATTCAACATTACAGTACTAATCACATACACACGTACATCATCATCATCACAATCAAATAATAAACATAATCTCCATTGGATACAGGAATGATTCTTATAACAATTAACCCTTAATTCAGAATAGGCCTCTCTCTTCTCTCTCTCCTCCCACTAACCTATCCCCAGGTGAGTATTGATGCTGGCGTAACGAGCAGTTCCTGTTAAGTTCTTGTTTTCCCGGTAAGGTATGTGCTGATGAGTTCGTGTGTCTCGATACTTCTTTGCCAAACCAAAGTCGATTATATACACCAGGTTGCCTTTCTTCCCAAGACCCATTAGGAAATTATCGGGTTTTACGTCGCGATGAATGAAGTTTTTTGAGTGAATGTATTCTATGCGATTAATCTAAGGAGGAGGAGAAAGGAAGAGAGAAAGACAAAGATAAGGTGATCATTAATTGTTGCCCCAACACTCGTTAGCACGCTCACCAGCTGATCGGCAAGCAGTAGTACCGTCTTTAATGAGAACTTCCGAGAACAGAAATTAAATAAATCCTCTAAACTAGGGCCTAGTAGCTCCATCACTAGGACATTATAGTCGCCTTCTGTACCACACCATTTAATGGAGGGTATGCCGACTAGAGAAAGAGAGAGAGGGAGAGAGAGGGAGAGAGAGAGGGGGGGGAATGATAATGATATAATAAATGAATAAATATGCATGTACTTTATTCCAAATATAAACAGTCCCTTTTAATTTTGGGATTGCCACATGTACAAAGAATGATTCATTTGTGTGTTGTCGTGTACGAGTGTTGTCACTATCACAACCACAAAATAAAACACGGAGACAATTCTCACTTTTACTAGACACCAAAGAATGCAACAAACAAGGCACACACAACAAAGAGCAACAGCAACACATTCGGTCATAAATAAATAAAAGCTAAGGGGACCAGTACCTCACAGAAAGAGGAGGGGGGTAAGAGGAGGAGGAGAGGGGGAGTCAAAACACCAGTTGTGTATGAAATTAAATAAACTTTGGACACAAGTCAATAATATGTTTTTCTACTCTCATATTACAACCACAAGTAGTACAAAGTGCCATATTACAATACTACACGTATTGGATACTACAAAATATAATCCTCTAAGCCCTGTATGTGTACATGTACATGTAGTCATGTACATGTATAAATTATATACCTCCCGACTGCATCATTTTGTAAAACTTTGCTTCTATGTGAAGTTGAGGATGTTTCGTCTTTACGCATTCTAACTTGATGGCTACTTCTTCTTTGGTAGCAATGTTAGTCCCTAGAGAAAGAGCAGAATGAAGAAGACATCATCAGTCAATATTTACATGACACAAACAAATGCTCAAGAGGACTCTTAAGACAAAAGTGTCTGTATCCATGACAATCATACCAAGCAAAAAGTACCACCCAACCACAGATATAAATACAGAGAGACAAGCAAAAACATGTACAAGTATAAAGAGACATAGGAGAGAAGAGAGAGAGAGAGAGGGAGTAAGAGACAAAACGATATTAGATCACATTCTAGCGACACAGGAATGTTGAGGTGTACTTTGATGTGGACACAACTATCAGCTGAGACATACATGATGAATGCAGAGATTAGTGTCAGAGATAAAGGATATGACCTAGAGTTCATTATATACATTACATAACAAGAATCCATCTCTAACTCTCTATACGTGCCTGACTAGTAATAGTGTAAACACAAATACCAAACCAGCACAGTCACAGACATGTGCATGCATTCAAATATTCTAGTAGAGAAAACATTTCACACCACACACACAAGAGACAGACAGTACATGTACAATGTGAATGTAGACACTATACATGTGTAAGGGAGGCACACAAGTAACATCATCTCTTAAATATACAAAAGTGATCTCACACTGATAAGTTTAGCTTACAGCAACTTTGCCAGGAAATGATGAGTCACCCAGTCATTATGCTCTATACATGTGCATAAATACAGCAAACAACTCAAGGCTATGTTATTGTTGTTATTATTATTGTTATTATTATTATTTTATTTACAATGGAAGTGACGTGACGTTGCCAGTTTTACAAATCTCAAATGCCTAACACTGTTAATCAAAATAATCACACGGACAACACTTTAAAAACAGCTTGTAGCTTAGTGTACATGCATTTAACATTAATATGATGTAGATGTACAAAGAAATGGTGAAAGAAAATGTACATATGATTTACCACATCTGAAAATGTGTGCATGCGCATACAGAAAACACAAGTGCTTTGATTTAAATATTCAAATAATCATCATTCATCATAAAACTAGACGTACGCATGGGACCAATCGCACCTGTTTCGTGTATAATAATAATAATAAATTTAAAAACTAATCAAAAACATATTAATATCCATTTGAGCATCATACAAAGTTTACAAGTGACATTCAATGCACAAAGAGATGAATAAAGGGAAGCAATAAAGGACAATATCACACGCGTAAAGCCACAAAAATATACGGAGATACACAAAGATATACAGAGAGGCATATGCAGCTGAAACTACATGTATATATAGACACAGTTATAACTACACTCAAATGTTTTTAATTAAATTTGAAAAACGAGACGCCAAAAATAAATGATTATAATTGAAAAAGACGATTCGTTCACACAACTTAAACAATTCAAGGCCCTACATGAACATACATACAAATATCTGTTACACTGTCCCATCTCCCATATTTAAAATCCATTGCTATATACACATGCATGTACAGTTTGTACTTCAAATAGTTTAAGAATAAAAAATGAGTTTGTGTTTCATTTATTATTACAATGGCAGATGTTGTCTGTTAACAGATAACACGAGAGTAGAGGGAAATCAATGAGTGAGAATATTTTAATTAGCAGTGGGAATTATACAAAATGACATCAACCCTTCTCTCCTCAGCCCCTTACCAAGATAAATGTCACCAAAAGATCCACTACCAATTTTACGTCCTAGCCTGTACTTTCCGCCTACTCTGAGCTCCATTTTGATCAAAGGAAGACACCTTTCAATGTGGATAGAGAGATAAAATTAGAGTGAGTGGCGTTACCCTCTGACTGCTATGGTAACCTACCAGCCGGTCTGGGACGGACTCACAAAACTGGAGCGGTTGGACGATAAAGGGAAGAGAGGAAAGAAACCTTTAGAAAGACGGAGAGGATTGTGGAGTACAAGTAGAACCTTTTGTTCTCTCTCTCTAACTCTCCTTTCCACTAATACACAGCCCACAGTTCATATTACTCCAGCAAAGGAAGCGGAGAATGTGCTCATCACGTGACACGTTTATATTGACACGCCTACTTTTGTTTTCCCGCGGTTTGTTCCCACCTTGCTCTAATGCGCATGCGCAAAAGAAGTGGTTTATTTTTAGCCTAAAACTTATGTCATTATTTGTTACTAAATTTAGAACACCTTCTTTGTAAACCTTTCCAGTCTTGTCTTTGCCTTATCATAGAAGATTACTGTAGCAACTTAGTCATTGGAAATAGAGACAGATTATGGAGTGGGGCAGCGCTTATGTCTACCATGGGAGCTCTGAGGATGAGATGCTTTCAGAAACTGAGCTAGAGGAAGGAATGTACCTCAGTCTCAGTGACAACAGTGATGATGATGACGTTAGCTCTCCTCCTCTAGCTGTTATCCCTCCTGCTCCACAGCCACAATTCAGAAGGAACCTAACAGCTAAACCACCAAGGCTAGCTCCAACTTTAGAGTATGCAAACATACAAGCCCTTGTACCATGATTTACAAGCCCCTCCCTTCATTTAGTGATGGATCTGGTGAAGACACTGATGATGAAACTGAAGATGATGATGATGAAGAAGAAGGCGAGCAAATGTAAATGCAACTCCTTAACTCTTGTTCATTGCTTATTCTCCTCTTCTTTCTTTGCAGGATACCTCGTCAATCGGCTTATGCTGATTTAACATTTCCTAATCAGCAAGGGCAGCAGCAGCAGCAGGAGGAACAGAGTGAAAGAGGAGGTGAAAATGAGGGAGAGTACTCGTCTGGAAAATACGTTCAAATAAGAGAAATGGAGCAAGAAATAAGAGATCAGGCAGCAAAAGAGCCAATGTGAGTTGATTAAAATTACTGTAACTAAGTAACTATTATAATCTAATAATTATTATTGTTTTTGTTTTTGTTTCATTTTATTTTTATTAATTGACAACAGGAGGATTGCACCTCAAAGCACTAGTGCAACTATACCACCTCCACCTCCTCCCCCTGAACCAACTCCTAAAGCATCTTCGTACAGTGTACCTGGTAATGAAAGAGAGAGAGAGAGAGAGAGAGAGAGAGAGAGAGCTGGATTTACACTTCATAACTGTGTGAATGTCTTCATTCCAGCTCCTCCACCAATAAAGCAGCTGCACGGGATAATGAAGAAAGAAGAATTGAAGAAGCAAAAAAGGCAAAGAGTTCGCTGGGACAAAAGCTACAGAGGCAGTAAGATAAACCATCCTCTCTCCTACCCTCTCCCTCTCTCCCTCTTTAGGACGTAATAACGCTTCTCAAGGTTTTAAGACTCGTCGTGCTGATACTAATGTACTAGCTGTCAAGTTCAATACTCTTCAAGAGGCAGGGCACATACACACAGGAGATGCACAGTTTTGTTCTAATCCTAACTGTGGAGCTGTTGTCAGTCACTTGACTAAACTGATTGGAGAAGAAGATGCTGAAAAGAGAGTTAGTCCATTATAATAGTGAACCTTACATCTCTCTTTCTGTCTCTTCTAGGTATGGAATTGTGAGTATTGTGGTACAGCAACTGAGCTTGATATTGTAAATGAAGAGATACCAACAGAAGAGGATACAACTTACCTCATCACACCTGCTTCTATAATGGCTGCTGAAGGAGGAGCCCCTATAGCAATGGATGAATCACTAGTTGTATTCTGTATTGATACTTCTGGCAGTATGTGTGTTACTACTAAGGTATGGTATGCATACATCTGTTATGCTTGGATGACTACTAGAAAAATCTTACTGCTGTACATATTGTAGGTATCTGGTCAATATGATATTCGCGGAGCTAAAGAGAAACGAGACAAAATGATGAACAGTTTTCCAGCTGAAGTCCTTGCAGAATTGCGCCAACCAGAGTATCGACACATGCAAGCAAGGCAGCAGAATGTGACATACATATCAAGAATGGAGAGTCTTCAAGCAGCTGTAGATACTCATTTATCAAAGCTGGTCCACTCTGAGCCTAATAAAAGAGTATCAATAGTTACATTCAGCGATGATGTATGTTTAGTATATTAATAATGGAGTTATTGTTTGTGTGTAGGTTACTATAATGGGTGATGGTAGGATGGTACCTGTAACTATTGCTGGGGATAAACTGTCTAATAGTAAAGCTGTCATTGATAGCGGAAAGGAAATACCACTACCTTCTACTATACGTGAAACTCAGAAAGCTTTATCAAAGAAGATATACAGGTAATGTAAGAATAAGTGGTGGTATGATTGTCAGTATTCATTATAGTTTGGAGGAGTCTGGTCAGACTGCTTTAGGACCAGCTGCACTAGCTTCAGTTGTCATAGCATCACAGAAACCAGGATCAAGAGTTAGCATTAACTTGTCATTATTGATGAATCCTTTCTCCTCATTAGGTAGTTCTGTGTACTGATGGACTAGCTAATGTGGGTCTTGGAAGTCTTGATGGTATGTGAATGATTGACAGTTAGAAATTAATCCTTTTTATTACACAGTTGCTGGTGGT